TTGAGAGCTTGAGAGCATTATTAGCCTCGATTGTAGTCGTGTCTCCTTCATTGCGTATTTTTATATTTTGAATATATCCCTCCACTGCATACGGTAACCCCTTTTGCCTCGATCTGGAGGATATCGCGGAGGTATTGCTCCAAAAAAGGTCACTGACGCACCTCTTCCCATCATGGCAATCTGTGGTGCTGGTCGTGTTTGACCATTTGTTTGACGGGCGTAGCAACAATAACTAGGGGGCGTGGCTTTTGCGAACGGTCAATTAGCATGCGCTAGTGATAAACAAATAGAGCAAGTAGATCAACCGCACCACAAAAAAAGGGGAGAGAGCGAAATAGGAGAATATGGACGCGTCATTGGTGGGGAAAAGAGGGCAAGTTAGCATGCCAAATTGCCAATTTTGCAAATGGAGCTTGAGGTAAGTAGTTTTAAGTTTTAGCACCATGTCACGTTGATCAATACACAATTTCATGTTGCATTTTTATTGTCTAGTCAGTATCTGTAGGTCATAGCAGCAAACACACTGTGTGTGAGATGATCATGACGCCAGATTCTGACACTGTCAGTAAATGATCACAGGCTGTCTTTGGTCGCAAGACCGTGACAATGGCCGACTGGGCCCACTAAGTCCCTTCACTGATGCCCTGTGTGGAAAAAAAGAGACAAAAGAGAAAAGGAGACTTTCTTCTGTCATCCCTGTGATGTGGAAAATACTTTCACATGTACAGGACATTGATACAGACTCAGTGCTAACCTGCAACATGAAAACAGAGATCAGGAAAGATCTGGAAATGAGATACAGCAATGAGTAGTTACAAATCCCTCTTAATTCAGCAACCTTCTTTGATCCTAGATTTAAGAACACATTTGTAACTAAGGAGAAGGAAGTGACAGAAGTACTGTTGCAAAAAACTGTCACAGCTGATTTCTCTAATCCACAATCAGTGATGGAGTCAACTCAGGCAGAGCAGGAAGAACAAACAGCTGCCAAAAAAACAAAAACAAGACTTGGGTAGCCTCCTGTCTTCTATTGTATCAGAGAAAAAAAGAAAAGAGTTGGGGAAGGGAGATGAATGTCAAGCCGGGAGGGGATCTCTAGAGATGCCAACTGACAGACTAAACAAAGAACTCCAAATGTACAAGTCCATGGAAGAGACCAATGCCACAGAAAACCCACTTTCTTGGTGGAAAAGGCATGAATCAAGCCTCCCCATTCTTTCAATGTTTGCCAAATATTACCTTTGCATTGCAGCATCAAGCTCAGCCTCTGAGAGAGTTTTCAGTACCTCTGGCCTCATCTGTAGCCCACTTAGATCCAGACTATCAAGTGACAATATTGACACATTAGTTTTCCTGTCCAAAAATCTGCAGCTGGCAAAGGAGCTGTCAAAAAAATAAAGACTGAAAAGATGTGACGATATGAACACGTTTAATTTTTTCCAAAATCAAAATTTAACCTATGTTCCCTGTAGTTTTTTTTTGTTGTTGTTGTTGTCACATTTCGATACATTTTGTTTGCACCATGTGATAAAGACTGACAATATATGAAGATATTAACCTATTTTTTTTATTTTTTTTAATCAAAATTGAACTTACTGTATGTTCCCTGACTGTAGGGAACATATAGTACAAATGTCTTTTTTACATTTTGATACTTTTTGTTTGCACATTTGGTACTGCAGAGAGCATACAGAGTTTCAAGCAGTGTTTTATTAATAAAATTGTTTCAATTCGCTTAACTTTTGAGGCTGGTTATTTGTCACCCGTGGTATCGATTTAGTATCAATACAGAGGTATTCGATTCTGGTCTCGTACCGAAGCCAAAATTGTGGTATCGAGCCATCCCTAATGGCCGTCTTTGAGCCTCTCTCACTGTACGACATAGGAACGGCGTTTAGGAGACACGACCAGAGAAATCGCCACGATTGGTCATCTTTCGTCTGGGACAGCCCTAAACCGTACAATGTGTGCCGGGCATTAGGTCTTAAGTTAAGATCTGAAAAGTTCAATGTTCTAAATAAGATCCTAACAGAAATTGCCATACTAAACAGATCAGATGTTTTTGTAATACAGCACCAGAACTAAATCCAACTGAGAATTCATGAGCGAACTTGAAAAAGGCTGTACACACAAACAAAGGTACAGGAATTGAAATGTTGGAAGGACTTATATTAAAGTATTAAAGTCACAGATGAGAATCTTGAGCTGGTCAGTGTTACACTTACTGATTCTGTGCAGCATCATGCAAAAATAAAGGTTTTCAGTTACGGATGCGACTGTTAATGCGTTATTCGTAGTGACCCATGATAAATTTATTTGGTGTCTTTCCTAGAATGGGCGAATGTTTGCGACTATGCGTGATAAACAACATACAGTAGCACTGGTATTACAAAACATTCAGTGGCACATGCCACTCAAATACAGACGTGACACAAACAGATAACACGTTTGGAAAAAATATAACCGACTTTAATGCGTTTAATTGACATTTAAAATATCGCTAAATTCGGCTATTTATTTAGGATTTTGTGTCACAATTACGTCAGCTGCTCAACTCATCTGTAAGTCACTACTGGAGGTGTCACAACATGTCTCAATGTCTATACTATCCAACCAAAACAGTATGAGATTAGAATAAGTGTGTCCCAAAGCATAGTACGTTGAAAAGAGTATGCCAGATGTCCTCGGATGGTCTACTATTTCCGGTGGATTTTTGAGTTGTGGATCCGCGCTCACTATAAACACTAATATTGCCCACAACCCATTGCGCTTTGGAGGAGGAACTACAAACACGAGTAAAAAGTGTTAAAAAAAACTACAAAACATGGCGGATATGAGCAACCTACATAAAGGTGTGAGTGACTAACCAAAGTTTAACCTGATAAAAAAAAAATGTATTTAATGTTACCCGTGTTATATTTCATCTGCAATAACAATGTGGACTTTTATAAAGATCTGTTTGGCCATTAACTTTTAAATGCATCATTATGCATTAATATGAGGAGAGTCTCCGCATGAAAGACGCGTGGCTGACGTGCTTCTGCATTTCTCTCCGATACAGTAGGAAATTAAATTAAATTAAATGTGGAGGATTTTAACTGTGACAAGATGATTGACAGGCCAGTTTACTGCGACAAAAAGCAACCGTTGAAGACAATTGTATTAGGTGATAGTGCGTCCCAGTCCCAAAGCTTGTCTACTTGTCTGCTACACACTCAAAAGTATGTACTTTTTCTTAACAAAAATAGTGCATTTAGGGTGTAGTGCAAGTAGGTGAATTGAGACGCAGCATCATTGTTTCTCGACAATGTCAGTGGCACATGCCAACGCATGTGTTACTAAGGATAGTGGCATGTGCCATTGGCTTCTGTGCATCAGATGTCATGTCACTTAATGTTAATACCGTCACTGGTGCAGAGAAAACATCAACAGAGCAGCTTGATATGTTTGAACATGACCACAAATACAACTGTTGCTATTGGCTGTAAACACTTACCCCATTGTAGGGTGATTTGTCAGATTGGGTCACTTCATTCTGTGGCTGTTCTGGCCACATCATCACTGGTGCACATGAATCCAATGAACCTCTAATGCTGGTCTATGTTAAAAAACAGTAAACACGTCTGTTTCTTTCCACTTCTACAACAGATGAAAACACTTAATAGCATTTCAACTGCTTCTCCTGTAAATAAAACTGTAAATACAAGCATCTGAATAGAAAACACCAACACTTCCAGCTGTTTACCGTATTAACACATTGGGTGACTAATGAAACCTGTCAAGAACATTAATGGATCATATTTCAAAATAACACAATCAAAAACTACTAATGTGAACCAAATGAAAATTATTATTGAGAATTTGTGACAGTAATGATCTGTTGGTGAAAAGTAATCTGGACTTATTTGAATGAGATTCCCCATTTACTGGTTTTGACAGGTTTCTATACACTGAACAAACTACCTCAATACAAACTAGTCCATTCATGAAATAGGGTTTGTTTAGACAATTCTCTTTACCTGTAGGCTATTTGTTGTAGTTTACCGTGGTAAATACGAATGATTTCATCAGTAAGTGTCTGATTTAAACCAGTAGACCATATTTTGGAGATTTTGAGAGAAGCGTACAGTCATTCAGGCGATTCAGCATCACGTGATCGAGTATTCCCGCCTTGTACACAATTATTTTGGTACCCGTAGTTTCTTCTAAAACGGTTATAAAGTTAACTCACTGTTGCTACAATAAAAAATTAAAGAAATATTCTGAACATGTATTACACTTTGAAGGTGATTCCAAATTAATTGAATATTGTTTTATAATATAAAAAACGGCGGAAATAATATTGAAGTTGCCTAACTCTGGTATTTAAGCAGAAACTATGGTTACCAAGGTAAAACTCAGCTATTGATAGGTTTAAAATGTTAATTAAATAAATATAAAAATATATTAGCTAACACATGATGAACGCAGAAGGTGATGATTGACACACGTTGCAGCCAATCAAAAGGAGAGTTGAGTTTGGAGGGGCGGAGAAACGCGCAAGTGCACCTGAGAGACATCTGAGAGACTGCACACACACCTCCAGAGACCCTCGCAAGATACAGGTATAATATTTCCTTTATATTTATTTGAATTTAACTTAATATCCATGTTAAACCATTTTTTATTTCTACACAATAAAAGGTAGAATCAAATTAACTTTCTATCTTTACCTACCTTTACCTTAAGCGAGGTTAAATAAAAGATAAGCTTCATATATACATATATTTTTTAACTTGTTTAATCATCTAATATTTCCTCACATACTGATATATATGTATACTGATAAATATGATGATTATATAGCAGTGCATTATTTTGGGATTAGGATTTTGCTCATCATAAAATGTCTAGAGAAAGATTAAATATAACTTCTGTTGATAATCGTTAGTACAGCTTATTTTATGGCGGTTTATGTTTACATTTGCCATGGTTACATTGTCTGAGTTTATGTTTCCAAGCCAACAGAAATCGCTAGGTCTACATCAAAACACTTCCTTGTAATCCCACGTGACGTCTTGAGGACCACCTGACCTCAGTTCACTTCAGAAAAAGCCTTTGGTGTAAATATCTTAAATGCATTCAGTGTACAATGTAATAAAAGCTCATATCAAACTGTGATTTGTATAACAATTTGAATTATTTTATATAATAATTCTAATATTTTGAATATTTAAATTTCACAGACCAACCTGAAGCTGCAAGAGAGCACAGACTGCAGATACACCTGAGAGGGACTTGGACAGAGAGTAATGGCCACAGATGCAGTGAACGAGCTCCGCCAGCAGTGCCTCAACAGGGGCTCCGCGGGGATCAAGGGTCTCGGGAGGTGAGCGAGATATTCAAATCTCTTTAAAAATTGTAAATGTAAATTCCAAAGAGAGAGAAAACGGTGAGGTGATGTGGGGCAGTGGTTAAGATTCAGGTCTGGTAATGGGAAAGTTGTTGTTGATGAATTATTAATATTGAGATAATTAACCTCAGGTTACTACAGAAAGACTGAACCAGTGATAGGGGCCCAGGGTTATTTAGTTACCTGAAATGTAAAACATAAAAAAAAAACATTTTATGTATATTATATTATTTTGTGTGTGTGTGTGTGTATTTTCATTTAGTTTAACTTGATGTACTAAAATAATTAAAACTAAAACTGAAATAAAAATTAATAAAACCTATATGGACATAATTAAAATATGATATAAGATATGATATATATGTCATATTTTAGTTGGACACATTACTGTCATGTGCTCATTTTTAAAGACACCGCTACTAAAAGTGGGCTAAACTCACCCTGCTCTCCCATAATGCACCCAGATGCTTTATTTTTTTAGTTGTTTTTTTGTAATTCTCATTATTCTTTGTGATTATTTTCTATTTTTTAAGTCATAATCTCACATTTTATGTAAATTATGACGTTTTAATTAGGGCTGTCAAATGATTAATCGTGATTAATCACATCCAAAATAAAAGTTTTTTTTACATAATATATGTGGGTGCACTGTGTATAATTATTTTGTATATATATATATAAATACACACACATGCATGTATATTTAAGAAAAAAATATTATTTATATATAAAATATTTATATTTATATATAATATAAATTATATATAAATCTATATACAGTATATACATGAAAATATTTCTTAAATATATACAAGCATGTGTGTGTATTTATATATATATAAAATAATTATACACAGTGCACCCACATATATTATGTAAAAAAAACTTTTATTTTGGATGTGATTAATCACGATGAATCATTTGACAGCCCTAGTTTTAATGAATAATTTTTACTTTTTAGTCATAATTTAAAGTCACATTTTCAACTTTTCATCGCATAATTATGACTTGGCATATCATAATTTTGACTTTTTTCCATACTTATGACTTAAAGTCACATTATGAATTTTTTTTTTATATATAATATTATTTGATGGGTTTTGGAGTTATATGACTTGGACATGTACTTCATAAAATTCACCTAATAAGATAAATCAATATTTCAAATAATAATTTTGTCTATTTTATTCAGCTTTTACAAAGGTAGAGGGTTAAAATAGCCAGTCCAACATTTAAACTACGAACATAAATATTGTTTCCAGGACGTTCCGCATTATGGACGATGACGGCAGTAAATCTCTGGACTTCCAGGAGTTTCAGAAGGGGCTGGAGAACTACGGCGTGTCCGTGGGGAAGGACAAAGCACAACAGATCTTTGCCATGATGGACAAGGATGGAAGCGGCACCCTCAACTTTGACGAGTTTCTGGAGAAACTAAGGGTAAGAAACTACAGGAACGTTTCCAGGATGCAGAAATGTAAAGAAGAGATTCATTGTGCAGTGTAGACAGCGTCTTTGATTATAACTGAAGTTAAAGCAAGAGTCCAGAACTCAGTCACTGATAAACTCGCGATGTTTGATTGACAGCTCCAGTGATAATAAATCGCTTTCTGTATATAATTTAATCGCAATTTAAACAACCAATTATTTTCATGCTACTAAGAGAAACAATGTAAAGTTGACCGTTTAGTCACTGGCTTGATTTACTGACTTAAATTTAATGATTTTGAGACGAAGAACCTCTGACTGTACATGAATCATTATCAGAAATTACTGATCACAGATCAGGCATCAGAATAAATAAGGTTACTTGCATGTTGTGGCGTTACTGTCGGGTCCATATCTTACAGTAAAAGTATTTTAGCAAAGCCTGCACCGAAATTTCAACTGATTTACCAAATCCACAGTGAAATATACCAACATTCACATAGTTGAAAATAAATAACCACTTGAATCCGTGTCTTTGCTTCAGCCGCCCATGTCGAGTGCGCGGAGGCAGGTGATCGGTCAGGCTTTCCAGAAGCTTGATAAGACAGGAGACGGTGTTGTGACTGTAGAAGATCTGCAGGGTGTTTACAACAGCAAACATCACCCCAAACACAAGAGCGGAGAGTGGACAGAAGAACAAGTCTTCCGCTCGTTCCTCGACAGCTTCGACTCTCCGTACGACAAGGATGGAAAGGTTCCTCGCTTTTATTCCTGCATTTACAGTCTAATAAGTGTCTGGAGATTAGATATTACTATCATCATCATCATCATCATGAGTGTTCATTTCAGTCCTCATACACAATACCATAATAATTATACATATTAACCGAAAAGGTGTAGGCTGAAGCTTTTTTCATAAGCATCACTTCCACTACTAAATTTAATCTATGCAAAAAGACACAAAAACAAAACGGTTACTTAAGACAAAACTGTAACACTGAAAATTTAAAATGCGTAGATAAAGCCTCTTTCTTGATCTCATAATTATGACTTATTAGTATGTCATAATTTAATAGTCATAATTTCGACTGAGACTTTTTAAATCTGAATTTCTGCTTTTTTGTCATCATTTAAAAAAAATTCTCATGACTTTGTCACTTTTTATTTCATAATTATGACTGTCATATTTTTTATTTTAAGTGTCATAATTATGAGTTTTAAATATAGAATTTTATGTTTAATTTTTTAATCTCATAATTAACTAGTCATAATTTCAACTTTAAATTATGATTTCACAAAGCATGGTTTTTTTATGTGGCGGAGATTTTAACTTTTAACTTACTGTACCTACCCCTTTTTTTCATAAGCGTTGCTTATGCTACTAAATTTTAAATATGACAAAAACAAAACGGTTACTAAAGACAAATTAATTTAAGACCTTTATACACTACTGAAAATGAGACCTTTTATAAAAAATACAATTCTTTCATTTATTTTATATACAAATTATTAAGAGACTTGATCGCTATATATTATGAAAAGATTTAATTTAGGCTTTTATTCCCATATAAATATTGATCAGTGAACATAAACAGAAGCTCAACCGAACCTGCTTGACATGCAAACCTCTTGCTGAAGCTCAAACGTGATGCGTAATACAAGAATGAACCTCATTGGTTCTTGCCGAAGCTCAAACGTGATGTATAACACGAGAATGAACCTCATTGGTTCTTGCTGAAGCTCAAACGTGATGCGTAATACAAGAATGAACCTCATTGGTTCTTGCCGAAGCTCAAACGTGATGTATAACACGAGAATGAACCTCATTGGTTCTTGCTGAAGCTCAAACGTGATGCGTAACACTAGAATGAACCTCATTGGTTCTTGCTGAAGCTCAAACGTGCTGCGTAACACGAGTGCAAGTTGATTAAAGTTTATATGTGAATAAAAGTGTAAATTACAACATGGCATGAACACACCTTTTTTCTTCCTGTGATAGGTGACGCTGGAGGAGTTTGTGAACTACTACAGTGGGGTCAGTGCTTCTATTGACAGCGACGAGTATTTCATCACCATGATGAAGAACGCATGGAAGCTGTAGTCATCATCGCTCACGGTTGCGCGCCCGCTCAATCAAATGCATTCGTCATTAGAAAAAACACTGAAATAGTGCAGATTGTAAACTATTTACTTGTAGAAATCATGTCTAATTAAAGGTTTTTGACTGCTACACCTTGTCTTAATGTTTCACACATTGGTTGTTCCCAGAAGACGAAGTTCCTCTCACAGATCCAGCTGATTCTGGTTGACTTTTGACCCAGGACACGAAAGTAAACCGCGTGAGAGCCAGTCAAAATCTGGGTTTGTCAGACGTCAGCTTCAGAAGAGCTTTATTGATTTCTCTGACAAACACTGTTCAATCAGTTGTTAAATCGCACCAGCTGTAAACTTGTGCATCCATACGATTAATGCCGTTTCTGTGCAGTAATGTTTGAGTTTGTGTCGCCATCTGCTGAACATTCACAACATGACACCAATGTCATACTCTCCTCAACGCATTTTAGGGAAACAAGTCTTTGATTATTGATGCAGTTAATCAACAAGTAGAACAAAAGCGATTCTCACCACACAGATTTTAGTCAACCAACTAGCGATTGGCAATTCTAACCAAACTAAATACACACTACCATTCAAAAGTGTAGGGTCTGTAAGAAGAAATTAATACTGTTTATTCAGTAAGAATGCATTAAATTGATCAAAAGTGACAGTAAAGACATTTATAATGTTACAAAAGAGTATTTTAAAAAAATGGTGTTCTTTTCAACGTTCTATTCATCAAAGAATCCTGAAAAAAAATGACGGTTTCCACAAAAATATGAAGCAGCACAACTGTTTTTAACATTGAAAATAATCATAAATGTTTCTTGAGCAGCAAACCATCATATCAGAGTGATTTCTGAAGGATCATGTGACATATAATGATGCTGAAAATTCACATTACATTTTTAAATATTTTCAAATATCACAACATTACAATTGTTTTTAATATTTTGATCAAATAAATGCAAAAAAAATCTCACCCCACAACTTTTGAACGGTAGTATATCTCACACAAAAGTACAGGTGAAACTCGAAAAATTTGAATATGGTGCAAAAGTTCATTTATTTCAGTAATTCAACTTAAAAGGTGAAACTAATATATTATATAAACTCATTACATGCAAAGTGGGATATTTCAAGCCTTTATTTGTTATCATTTTTAAAAATTTATGACTTACAGCTTATGAAAACCCAAAAGTCAAAATTAGAATATTGTGAATTACTGAAATAAATGAACATTTGCACGATATTCAAATTTTCTGAGTTTCACCTGTAAATAAAGCTTACTTTTCAAACCATTAAGAAGTTTGCATTGTGACGATATTTCCATTATGCAAAATATATTTTCTTTAAACTTTGGATGTGTTCATGAGATTCACCCATAAATTTAAATGATTCATCCTTGTGAGAAAGTGAAGCCCACGATTTGACATAAGACAAAAATTTATTTCAAATGTTTCATCTTTTTTCTTTTTTTTTTTACTTTGATATTACTATTTATTTTGTAAAGGAGTTTGGAGACATGGTGTGCTAGTAAGTGATAATATACGCATAGAAATTTACAGAACATTCAAGGGTACAAGTTTTTTTTTTTTGTCCTTTTTTTCCTGTCTAAATGCACTCAAACTTCCAACACACGAAGAAATATCATCTCCAAATGACATGTAAATGGATAAAAAGTTAATATAGTAAATCAATATTAAAAAAAAAAAAGGCCGAAACAATACAAACCCTCAGAATATGGAAAATAAAAACAAATACAGAGATGCTGCTTTAAATGTTAAATTCTCATCAGATCAACTAAAAAAAGAAATATTAAACATTATCTGCCCCTAAACGAAGCTACACAACTCAATTTGAAGTTTGAAGAGACGTTGGTGTGAAGATATTTTCCTCTTTTATAGGGGCGAGTTCTAGAAACAGGTTCGCTACAGCACGAGTCCGTGTGCTGGTTAAGTCCTTTATTGGTTAACACCGATGAGAAATCTAACTACCATCTTAGCAGACTAGTAAAAGTGTCATCTTGTCCTGGAAAGTGAACATCCAGGAGACGCTCGGTGAAACTGGCAGAAATCAGTCGCAACCTGGGAAAAATGGTACAACTACACCGAACACAGGGGATATAGGTCAGGTGACTGATGCTACCGGCCAGCTGATTGGCCGATAAGTGTGATGATGCGGCGAGGTCACGATGAAATGGTCTGAAGCCGAGAGCCAGTGAAGAGAGAGAGAGAGAGAGATAGAGAGAGAGACAGAGCGAATGAGTAAAAAACGGTCCCACGGTAGAAACTGCAGTCTTGTCGATTCCGTGTCTAAAACGGAGAGAGAAACACCCTCACACTCATCAATATGATGAGCGACCAAGTCCAAAGCCATATATGGAAAAGTCTCGATTTTTTTTTTCCTTTTTTTGTTTGTTGTCTTTTTAATTTGTTTATTTGCAGTCCAAGAGGAAAAAAAACAACAACAACTAAAAACAAACGAAACGATAAAAAAAAAAAAAAAAAAAAGCTCCAGATTTACAATAAATGTTGGAGGGGAAAATGAACTACAGAAGTTTGGGTGAGTCCCAGGGGTCCTCAGACCGGTCTGACTGGGCTGTCCGCAGAGATGCCTGCACTGAAACCCTGGTGGGCGGCTGTGGCTGGAGCAGAGCTTCATGATGCTATGTGCTCTCGCCCGCTGGGGTCTCGCTGTTCTCACAGTTACCTGAGAGAGAACAAGACAACATTACGAGAGGAGCTCAACTCAGAAATATACAGTAAAACAAGGGGCTGATCAATATATCATTACCTTACCACTGTAATTACTAAATATTTACGATATTAAAGCAGCCCTATTACAGTTTTTTTTTAAAGGTTCCTAATTTTGTTTTTGAGTCAAAAAACACTTTGAGCTGTCTGGATGGGTTCAATCAACGATTCAGTCTCTCTAAACCCCTCGTTTCTGAGAGTCTACTCTGCTCTGATTGGTCAGATGGCCCAGTCTGTTGTGATTGGTCTACTCTGATCTGATTGGTCAGATGGCCCAGTCTGTTGTGATTGGTCTACTCTGCTCTGATTGATCAGATGGCCCGGTCTGTTGTGATTGGTCTACTCTGCTCTGATTGGTCAGATGGCCCAGTCTGTTGTGATTGGTCTACTCTGATCTGATTGGTCAGATGGCCCAGTCTGTTGTGATTGGTCTACTCTGCTCTGATTGGTCAGATGGCCCAGTCTGTTGTGATTGGTCTACTCTGCTCTGATTGGTCAGATGGCCCAGTCTGCTGTGATTGGTCTTCTCTGCTCTGGTTGGTCAGATGGCCCAGTCTGTTGTGATTGGTCTACTCTGCTCTGATTGGTCAGATGGCCCAGTCTGTTGTGATTGGTCTACTCTGATCTGATTGGTCAGATGGCCCAGTCTGTTGTGATTGGTCTACTCTGCTCTGATTGGTCAGATGGCCCAGTCTGTTGTGATTGGTCTACTCTGCTCTGATTGGTCTAATCGATTCTTTCTTTTAGAAGACAATAACTTTATTTGACGTGCACTTTGATTTTTAAAACTTTGCAACCTTTTACATTCACAAACAGCTGTATTACACACTGCATGAAAGGTAATAAGAAAAAAATCATTATAGGTGCACTTTAATATTAATATTTAATACAGTATTTATTCATCTTTGTTAATTAAAGCTAATAAAAATATAACTGTTCATCGTTGGTTCATGTTAGCTCAAGTCCATTAAAAAATAATAAGATACTTTTGATTTTAAGAGTGTCAGCAAATGTTGAAATAAATACTGTAGAAGTATTTGTTCATTGTTAGTTCATGTTAAATAATGTTAAATGGAAAGTGTTACCAAAATAAAGTCTTGCTTGATAATATTAAGTTATGCATTAGCTAACTGTGTAATATGTTTATTAATCTTTGTTAGAAGTAAAGACATTTCAAAATAAGAGTGTCTGTGTATTTTAGGCTTGTTTATAATTAAGTCCCGTAATATGCAGAACTTAAAAAATAAAATACAATTTGAAGCAAAAATATTCAAAAACCTACTGTACTTTCTGTATTCAAATAAATGATTGCATCCCTAAAGTTCTTTATGCACTCCTAAATGTTTTAAATTATGAGCATAAAAGTGAAAAAAGTGTCAGAGCGATGATCTATACGCGTGTGCTTTGCAGAAACATCAAGCTTCATACGTTCTGGTGAAATACAGGCAAATGAAAGAGTCGTACCGCTGCTGGTGGAGTTCCCCGTGCCGGTGGAGTTGGTGCCGCTGCTGTTGTTAGTGGGTTCGTCGTCGTCGCTGTCGTCTTCGTTTGACTGTGGGATCTCCGGTTCTGCCGGGGCGGGTGTGTTCTCAGTGTCCGGCTCCACACGACTCCGCAGGGCCAGGATCCGGTGGTGTAGAGCGGCGGCCAGCTGACCCGCGTCTTTAGAGCTCGCCTGAGGACACACATCACAGATCAACTGTGAATGTTCATGCAGGGTTCCCAAAAACAACATTTGCATGACTTTCCCAGTCCCTGATGAATGTATAAGGACTGAATGATTAATGGAAAAATTATTTTATAGACTGCAGTGCACACACAAAACAATTTCTAATAGATGCAATATCTTAAAGCTGAGAATAAATGGTAACGCTTCCTTTTACAGTACTTACGTGTACTTACCTAGAAAGTACTGGCTAATATAAGGTAGGTACATGGGTTAGGGGTAGGTTCAGGGTTAGTACCTAGTTATTACCCAGTAATTATAATTACTATAATAAGTACATAGTAAGTACATGGGTAACAGGACTGTAAAAGGAAGCGTTACCGAATAATTAGCGTATACAATTTATATTCTCTTATATATCCTCCTACAAATGTCTATCACTTGATTTCATTGTCTAATAAGGCCTGTAAATAATGGGCTTTATTCATGACACACAATCTAAAAAAAAACTTAAATTTAAAAAATAATACAAATATTTATTATTAATAAATTAAAAAACATTAATTTAAAATAAGATAATTAATTAAATAAAATTAAGAAATTACTTTTTATATACAAATTTAAATAAACGTAATAAATATAATACATTTTAATTCTAAATAATAAAAAAGAAATATAAATTTAACTAAAATAAATACATTTTATGAAGATAA